TAAGTGACTGATTGAATGATTTATTGATTGATTGATTGATTGATTGATTGATTCATTGATTAAATGATTGATTGATTGATTGTATGATAGATAGATTTATTGATTGAAATTCTCAGAGCCTTCAATATAGTCGACAACATGCTAAGCATGATGGGTAAGTACACCAACAACCTCGAGTCCCTCGTCAAAGAGCGAACCAAGCAGCTTGAGACGGAAAAAGCTAAAACTGATGAGCTATTATACAGCATGATACCGAGGTAGATTATAAACTTATCGTTCATTAATTGATAATTATGCATAAATTCTCCAGTTTTGAATTCTCCAATGCTCTGTGTTAGCCTCATTCGTTCGCAAAATATTTCTAATGGTGAGCGTGAAGTGAAGATTTCAAATCAAATTTTATTGTATTTCTTCACAAATTCCATGCGTTTTCTCGGGATATCAATAAAAGAATATGTTGCTTGGTTTTGAGGCTAAAACAGAGGAAACCAGAACTCGAAATTCGAGTATTATTCATTATCACACGCTTCTCTGTCCAGCAATGAATCATAACCTCTTTAWTAATTTAGGAGTATTGCAGACAAGCTGAAAGCCGGCTCCCAGATGAAAGCAGAAAGCTACGACCACGTGACCGTCTTCTTCAGTGAAGTCGTTGACTTTACAGGAATAGCAGACTTAAGCACACCAAGACAGGTAGGCATTGTGGGACAATTTCCATCTTGCGACCCAATGGTTGATATCCCATCGGTCGATTAATAGCTCATGAATTATTAATAGATTTTCTAAGAACACAAYATTTTCTTTCAGCTTATTAACCTCTTAAATGATTTATATGCACTCTACGAAACTGTTATTGCACGGTATGACGTGTTCAAGGTAAGATATACCATTTAATAGACCTTATTTACTAATACTGCCGCCATCTTTAAATGTGAAGACATTATGGGATGTCCTGATGGGCAAAAGAGCGCGTCTTTGTTTAGAGACTGTTACCGCGTTACCGTTTAAATAGTCTCTCTCACGGCTACCTACGCCATCTTGAAAATTAGGTAGCATGTACATTCGTGACTTTACTTCGAAGTACTAGTATAAGATAGCCACTGAGCGTGCAATGGTAGATACCGTTGAATAATTGTCTGTAGGTGTGAAAGAAGTTTTCTATCATTGGACGCTCAACGTTCTTTTGCTTCGATGCAAAGGTACGGCTTGATGATGTAGGGAAACGTGAAGAAGACTATAGCGACGCAGTATTAAAAAAGTGTTAAAAATCCCCACCTAGAGTGTATTAATTCCATTTCTCTTCCGGGGCCGGGGTTGGGACCGGGAAGTTGGAGACCGGGAACTGGTTGGAGACCGTTGGAGACCGGGGTTTCAACACTGATTCATGGTAAAGAAGAAAAAGAGACAAACTAGTATCTTGATAGTATCAATCTTTTTYCTCAGATGATGACTGTGTGCGACTCGTTTATGGTTATTTCCGGTCTGCCAGAAAGAAACGGCAAGCAACACGCAGCTGAAATAGCATCRATGGCTCTTCATCTTTTATTCTACTTTAAAGATTTTAAGATTCAACATTTACCGTACGAAACACTGCTGTTTAAAATGGCGATACATACAGGTATGCTATTATATGATTAAATTTTAAATTTTTGATATATAACGCGCGCTCTGATTGGCTGACGAACGTGTTTATATAAGAGGACAGAGACACGATTTACCGGCAAAATTTGTTTTTCGCTCGAAAAACGTAGACAAAGTTTATAAAAGAACTTTAAAACGGTCGCCTGTGTATCTGTTCTCTGAAGATAAACACGTTTGGAGTTGAGAAGCACTCGAGAAGCAAGAGAAACACTCGCTAAGCTCGTGTTCTAAGCTTGCTTCTCTCGTGTTTTTCAACTCCCAGCTTGTTTATATCAGAGGACAGAGACACGCGCGCCGTTTTATATTTCTTAAATAAAGTATGATTGTGCTAACTATGCTATACCTTGGCAATTACTTTAATTTTCCGTTACTTTATCGTACAGGACCATGTGTAGCTGGTGTGGTTGGATTAAAAACTCCTCGATTCGATATTTTTGGGAAYACGGTGACGATAGCGAAAGAACTYGTAGAAACCTGCCAACGTGAGTAGCAAAACCCGACTATAAGGCATAGAAAAACACGATATGACACATACCATAAYATATCCTTATCTATGTAACTAAAACGTTCATCAGCATCGACATAATTATCACTCATTTTTCCATTTTTTATTTGTCATTTTTTGTCAAAATGTTTCATTTTCATCGTTATCATCTGATCATTATATATTACCGTAATTACCGTGATGTAGTATTACCTATTTTTTTTGAACTATGATTTTATAAATTCTTCTAATTTTCAGCTCAAACAATCCATATGAGCGAGAGGTGTAAAGAATTTCTTAAGGAAATCGGAGGATTTAAGTACAAACCTCGAGATGACCGACTGRTGATGAAGGTACTATAGTAAACCATACTCCAAGCMTTTAAACTTTGTGTCAAAAAAAAAGAAAAGAAAAGAAAACAGATTACGGAAACATTTCCTTAGGAGCATGCCGGTATCAAGTTCAACCCGGTATTAAGAAAAAACCCGGTGTGTACTATAAACCCCCTTATAACGAACAAAACTGTACGGAGAACTATGAAAAACCCTCGCTTTTACTTATACTCGTCCCAGGTTACCATCTGTTTATCGTTCGGTATGCGTCACTGGCTCTCTCGGAAGATGTAATCCAATAGGCTTGTTCAAAACAAAAGAATAAAACAAAACACAAAAAGTGTCATTGCTCTTTTAAGTACAACACAGACAATCATAAAAATCATTTCGAGAAAGGTGAAGACCTCCACAGCAACCATTGTGTGACTGTGTGCGAGAGCGTCCGCCATCTTGGATTTAATAAGCTGACAGAGTGTAGCATGGGGCGAGTCTTTAGTTCGGGTTCCTATTCATAGAGTTGACTGTATTCTTCCAAATTCTTGTTTCAGGGTGGGTGCGAGAAGATAACCTAYTTTTTGACCGGGAAAATCAACGGAATTACTCTTGAAGCTGAWGATKGTTGAAAAATCACAAGTARCGCAAAATTAAAGTGTCACACATTTTGCCGTTGCTACGKTAACATTCATTTGTAGTACCGYTATTATAAGATGTCACGCAAAAAGCTTTTATATACGTGTTTCTCGTGTTACATCGGGTGACACAGCTATTTAGATAAAAAGTAGCTAAAATGCTTATTATAAATCTTATATTTTAAGAATACTAACAACTCAAATAATATGAGAACAATAATTATAAACTCCTTGCTAAACTACAACGTGACTCGTCGTATTGCGTGACTCAAACAAAAGTAACGTAAGATAGCATTCATACAAGTAATATTAATTGTAAATTGTAGATTTTTCTTGTTCCATTCAGATACATTTCCTAAACTTCAAAAGAAATTAATTTTGTAATGAAAAACGATAACCTGTAAATATCAATAAACTCTTGAACTATAAAAAAGTGACTTCCTCTTTCTTGTCGAAGACAGTTTTGTGGCGTACGTAATCAAATATTTTCCGTTTTACAGCCATTTTCAAATCTTCTATCTGCTAACATTTATCATTGTATCAGTTGCGTCACGGTAAATGGGTAAGATTGTCCTTACGGTTACGTTGCTTTAGGACGCAAGACATTTGTTGTTGTCTTTGCGATATCTTTACGGAAAAAAACGTAACTTCAATCTCAACGCGACWTTACGGTATTCATAAGAAACAACTTATGGTTACTTTGCTTCCGTACGATAAGGTTGTCTTTACGTGGCTTTAGGACGTAGTTGATTTGCGGAAAACGTAATCTAAACGCAGCCACATTCAAGTATCAACCGAATGGTTACGTTGCTTTCGAAAGTAACGATTATATATTATCATGCAATAGGACGCACGTTCTTTACGGAAGAACGTAAGAAATCATTACGCTACTTGGTAGATTGCTTAGGCTTTACCATAAACTAATATATTTGTAAGTGTAATTAAGACGTCAGCAGCTTTTCGCAACACGTGGGCGTGTTAATACGTAAACCTAAAAAGTTTTGTTATGGTTTTTCACACATATTTGAAATGGAGCGAGATAAGCATGATCCTTATACGCAACAATGAGTTGTTATCTATCCTGACCTTAATTAAATCTAACGCTGATCCCATACAGACCAGTCTACGTACAACGACTCTAAATACGTCTCGCGTGTTTATAAAYGTAGAGTTGCGTACGTAGAATTGCGTACGTGCCCATTAATCTTGTCTCAAAATATAGTTCAGTGATAAAATGCTACATTTGATTATTTAGCCTCTTTTTTAAAATTTTTTTGTTTATGTCATAGAATAATACGGCTTGATATTAAAATATTTGAAAAAGACGACACAAATTTAATTTTAGATTGGAGACCGCAGAATTAAGTTGGAAAAGCGGAGTGTAGCAGTCATACTATCCATTAGTCTAATATCATTTGATTTCTACAAAAAAGGTTTATTCGTTATTGTGTTTTGATTTCTATTAATATATTGTTTWATCGTTATTTAACTTCCTCAAACCACAAAAACAACAATTTAGTTCAAGTTAAACTAAAGCGAGCTGTTTTTTCGATTCCTTGTCAAATTTTATTTACATTGTTTGGCACTCTACTTGTATTCTACTTAGTAAGGTAAATAACGCATCAAAAGTCTAGACACGGAAGTAAAATGGCTTGAAAACAACTATATGCCATTAATAAACCCTGAGTAGGTAGAGGACTCGAAAATTGATTGAAAAAGATCAAGATTAAGTTCATATACTTTTATCATCAACTCATCAAATGATATAATTACTTATTATTACTTATTATTACTTATTATTCATTCAGCGAGAATACATTCGTTTGTGATTGGCTAGGAGGTAACGGCTAATTTCTTATGTCTGCATATGAGCATCCATTAATATTTGTTTATACAAGTTGCCTCATATCCCCTTTTCGTGCGACAATATTTTTGTTTCCACTCAGCAAGACTGAGCATTAAAAATATGACTTTTATTCAACCTTTATTATAGAAAAACAAATAGATTGAATTATATGAATTTTAGTGAATATTTGTGAATAAAGAAAGCAATTTCAGATCGGCCAAGGCTCGTCCTACATCCTAAAGTCTATACTCAGTCATTATCGATATTTGTTTCTCACATCAGTACTAAACGCCGACAAATAATTCTTCATATCAAACTCAGCCTTAATCAATAATTCTTCATATCATACTCATCCTCAACCAATAATTCTTCATATCATACTCAGCCTCAATCAATAATTATTCAGTCAAACTCGCTAACCAATGATTCTTCGTATGATACGAGTCAATCTTAACCAATAACTTCTTACTGAATTAGTGAATTGATTAAAGAATCGTCTAAAACAGTGGATAATACGATCTTAATAATTTTTAATGGCCTACAATGAGAATTCACCTTTCAAAAATAAATATTTGCTTTTTTCAGTTCTGTTTCAGTTGAAAAGATACTAAATTGTGCGCACATAATCCTTGTCTAAAATATGAAGGCATGGCCATTTATTTATTCGAATGAAAACCCACATTTACTTTTTGAGAAACTCTCCAGTAAAAAACAATTATTAAAATTCCATAATATAATGGTTTATCTAATCGTTCCAGTTATTAATCACTTAATTGGACATTAATCTATTTTTGAAGTTGATCAAAGTTCACTTAAATATTTACTTAACACGAATTTTCATGATATTGCTAACATGGAAAAACTATGCTCGATATTGGCAGTACTTCGTGGATTCAGGCATTCTACCCTCAGTACTCGCTGAGCGCAGATCAATAAGAGTTTTCGGTGCAACATGCGTTGGTATATTTTGTTGGCGCTCGTTTCTCTCGCAGTTTTGATTCTCACCGAGGAATCGGAAGGTTGGTGGCGCAGGCGAAGATCCTCTAGACGAAGGTATACAATAACGAGCTCTGGAAGACGAAGGTCTAGCTATCGTAGTCCGCCATCTTACTACAGGCGAAGAGTTAGCTACACAAGAAGACGAAGAGCCGTACAGCAAGGTAATTATCGCGCGACATAAACTGCAATATTTTATTGCACGTGTAAACAGTTTGCAAATTCACACTAATTTCCAAGTGAAAATTGCAGCGATTTGCACTAAAATTTCGAGCATGTTCAAATTTTCTGCGATAAACCTGCGAGCTGTCGCCGTGAGTTTGCGAAAAAATTGCTGCTGATGTCGCGCGACAAATTTGTTAACGTTAATTAGCTAGCCTTTAAAATCATAGCAAACTATATGGCAAGGAGACAATAAGTCAACATTATGAAAAATTCAAACAAAAATTTGAACATCTGACTCTAACTCCTACTCGATCAAATTTTGTTTCCTTCCGTTCTATTCAGATTTATAGAATATTTTGAAACATATATTTTACAATCAATTACAAAATTTAAAATGTTGGTGGCATACTTTGACGTTATGTATGACGTCACCTTGCGATCTGAAGACACCATCTATACCAATCATTTATTTTCTCAAAATATCTACTTGCCAAATTTCGGTCAACCAGAGAACTCAACACAAATTTGTAAACGAGGGAAATGAATATTTCCTCAAACTTCGAAGCAAATCGATGGAAACTAGTGGTAGACTAGTGTGAGCTGCGTCGGTGTTTCTGAAGAAATAGTTGTGCAAAAACATAAATTTTAACACCGTGAAAGTAGTTGAAACAACTTACTGACGTTTTGGACGTTAATCCTTCTTCGGAGTAAAGAGAAGACGAACACAAATGCCTTGCTAAGTTAAGGTGGTACAATTAGAACATTCGACTTTTTATCCTCGCGAACTTTTTACTGTCTAAATTCGGAAAAAAATTGATTTCATTGATTTCGTTGTATTGTTGCAAGGATGCGGATATCTGAACTGCTACAATGGAGGAACCAAATACTGCGCTAAAGGTTGGTGGACTTCAAAAAGAAAAGTTGCCAAGTGTAGGTGTCGTTCATGGACAAGTGGTAAACAATGTCAAACATGTAAGTCACCTACTGATAGACTGACTCTGACTCTGANNNNATCTAATCGTTCCAGTTATTAATCACTTAATTGGACATTAATCTATTTTTGAAGTTGATCAAAGTTCACTTAAATATTTACTTAACACGAATTTTCATGATATTGCTAACATGGAAAAACTATGCTCGATATTGGCAATACTTCGTGGATTCAGGCATTCTACCCTCAGTACTCGCTGAGCGCAGATCAAAAAGAGCTTTCAGTGTAACATGCGTTGGTATATTTTATTGGCGCTCGTTTCTCTCGCAGTTCTGATTCTCACCGAGGAGTCTGAAGGTTGGTGGCGCAGGCGAAGATCCTCTAGACGAAGGTCTAGTTATCGTCCTCCGCCAAGATACTACAGGCGAAGATCAATTAGCTACACGAGAAGACGAAGATCGGTATCACGAGGTATTTTCTTAAACATCTCGCACTAGCCAACCCCGTTTTCCCAAGATTTCATTTAAGATTTCATTCAAACTTCGTCAGTATGTCAATTATGTTATTAAGAAATGACTCTGGAAATTTTATTACAATCTCTGCGATGAGTTTCGAGAAATATGAAGGGGTTTTTATTTTGCATTGATTATCCAAATAGCTTCCATTTTTTGGAAAATTAATTTATCAATAGGAATTATCGATAATCACTAATATATCTGTGAAAATTTGAGTGCAATTGAATAGAAATTTGCGACGTAGTTGGAGTTTAAACATACGCGCGAAACGCTATTTATTACGATCGAAACACCTTAAGACATATGTCCACGTATGGGAAAATTATAAAGGATAACTTTGGACATCGAGTAAAAGTTTCATACCCACACTAATCAAATTTAACATCTCTTCTGCTTAGATTTATATATAATGATGTAACATTTTGAAATTTATGATTTCAGAATTTCAAATTTTGTAATTTTGGTGCTATACTTTTACGTCATTTATGACGTCACCATGCGATCATATATCAATGTGTATTCTCAAAATATCTACGTGCCAAATTTCGCTCAATCAGAGTACGCAACACAAATTTGTAAACGAGTGAAATGAAACTTTCGATAAACGTAGAGCGGGGGAGGTTCTCAATCTCAAACTTCGACCATGGCCAGAAAATCCGGACATTTGAGCCCGCAATCGCAGCGGTACTTCGCATAAATGCATAAAAACATGAATGTAAATTTTACAAAGAAATGTATGGATCAAAAAAAACATTTGAGAATAACATTTCATCTGTTTTAATTGGAAAAAATTCCATAGATGGATTCGTAAAGGGAAACCATTCTTGATTCCACTGTAGGAAATCCAAAGAAATCCAATATTGTTAACAGCGTCCATTTTGACAATATATTTTCCTTTCGTCGTCTCCCTTTGGCCTTGTATCTCATGGTGAAAATTCGCGAAGAAGCGAAATTTCACCGTGGCTGATAGTGTTCCTTTACATTTCACTAAAATTCCATAGATCACTTCTCAAAGTCCACATATTGAAGTAGGAACACAGTGATTTTCCGCTATTTTGAAGACGATCAACAGCGTCCATTTTGGTACTAGAAATCGTACAAAAACTAACTTGACGGTGAAATGGCTGGCGAAGACGCGTGTTTCACGCGAATAATTGGCCTCGATCTTCCATTTTCTTTTCATTTTATACGCCATGTTTGGTACCAAAATAAACCTTAGAAACGTGGCTTTCAGACTAGCACTACTTTAATTTTGTCGGTTTTTACTGGCGCCTTGCGCGCAGTGGTGAATAGCGGGAAATACGAACGAAAGATCAAGTCTACGCTATTTAGTGTAAACAATGTCAGACCCTTTTAAATTCCTTACAAATGTACAAGTATAAACAAAAGATCACAATATCAACTGATGATCATTGTTTAAAATACCTGAGGGAAACGTGTGTTCCAGCAAAAAATATTATTTACACTATGAACATTCCAAACGACAACCTTACAAGGCACTAATGAACTCAAGGATCAGAGCGTGCTATCCCAATACTCGTTTGTCGATGTTTTGAACGTTTCGATTTTAGCCCAGTATTGTATTAAGATAAAGGATCGTTGCACAATAGTAGAAAATTTGATCTTCAAAAGTTCAAACCTCAAGGGAACTTGTAGAAAGCTCTATTTTGGTGGGAAAACCCGCTGACTCGTTCCGGGCTCAAATGTCCGGAATTTCTGGCCATGCCCAAATTGGTGTAAACTAGCGGTAATGAACTAGTGTGAAACAGTATTGTAAAAAGATAAATTTACCGTAAAAAAAGTAGGTGAATCAACTTACTAGCGTTTCGGTCGTTAATCCTTCGTCGGAGTAAAGAGAACGCAAATATACTAATTTTAGAAGGTATAATTAAAACATTTTTCGACTTTTTTTATCTGCAAATGTTGTATTGTTTCAAGGCTGCGGATATCTGTACTGCTACAATGGAGGAACCAAATACTGCGGTGGCTGGTTAAGAAGAGTTGCCAAGTGCAGGTGTCGTACATGGACACGTGGTAAACAATGTCGAACAAGTAAGTCACCTACTGATAGACTGACTCTGATTCTAACTCGCACTCTGACTCGCACTCTGACACTGTCTAACACTCTGACTGACTCTTTCTCGCACTCTGGGACTCTGAATCTGACCCGCACTCTTACTCGCACTCTAGATCTGACTCTATTTCGCACTCTAACTCAAACTCTGACTCTGACGTTTTCAGTAACATGCCCACGCAAATCATGCAAGAATGGAGGAACGAATTACTGCAAATCTCGTGGAGTGTCCGCTTGTAGATGTCGTTCAGGATTCTATGGACCGATCTGCACAGGCGGTATGAAACCACTGCGGTGCTTAAATTTACTAGAGAAGAGTGAATTAAAATTTTATAAGAGTGTGCAGTCTACCACTTCTTATCCTATAATTATATATTACTGATTTAGTTTTCAGACTTCAAAGTAAGATATCGTGTTAGCCTTCATTTGGATTATTCACGAAATA